CGTTTCACGGTTGATTAAGTCGATCGTCAGCAGCCAAAGAAGGAGCGAAGGACCTGTATAAAAATTGCCGACAGAATTTCTTCTTTTGTATATAAGAAGGAGACAGAGAGAGAACAAAAATATATAGTTTCGTCATTGTCACACGTTTCTCACTACATATGGATAAATGTTCTTATTTCTCCGTATTAGGGAGAAAAGAGAACGAGAAAGAATACCTATAAGAGAAGGAATAAAGACACACAGTAATTAAGATCGACTTGAAAGTAAGATAGCCGTCAATGGATATAGGAGATCGGAGGAAGAAGATTCTCGAGAACTTTTCAATTATCGAAAAAATTCCGACAAGAACAAACTCAGGAGTTTTAGGCTGCCGACGAAGTTTCTAAGAGACACTGTACAGTACATTAAAAATTTGAAAAATTCATAGGAGACTGTAACCATTTGTTGTATCCCGAAACAGTGATTTTTCTATGGGTTGAGCGAAATAGCCCATTCGACCTCCTTGTGTAAGTTACATCTGAATATCGAAATATGGCGCATTACACATGCAACTCAAACTTGAACTGGAGACGATTTCACACTTTCTTTTGCATGGCTTGCAGAGACCCGCGAGACGATCGAAAAATCTCGTCTCGTCTTCTCTCGTCACGCTACAAGACGAAACAGAAAGTCTCAGTTGGGCGACAGTAGACGAGACACAATACGAATGAGTCATCGCGCCTGATAACTAGTGCATTATCACTACCAAATTTGCACACAGAGACGTTCAGAAGGAACCACTGAGAGCACTATGTTGACTTATTTCATGCGATTTAATAAAAGTTTTTGTCATCGACTAGGGCACATATTCGAAGAGAATTCATATTGAAGAAAACCCTTGACGTCTGATATATCGTCTGAGCAAGAACGAAACACATTGTTGTAGTTCCTATCACGCCGACGAACATTAAAATTACCTTGTCGGATGTTGTAATTTGTTTTATTTTTCTTGCTTTGGTGAACTACTTTATGTAACAATTCCGAACGAATCATGTGAATATAAATAGATGATTTATTCAATATTATGGTTATCTAATGAACCTTGCAAAGTTAAAAAAATTATTCCACGAAATCATGCATATAAAATATATAATAAAGATTAGTAAGCATTTGAAAAAAGCATATGTGATTGATCGAAAAAGTCACCAAAATTAGCGAGTTCAATCAGTGGTTGGACGCTTTCGAGGACGCGATATTTGTTCGCGTTTAACCCAAGGAATCTCATCGTCTTCTATGTATGCTTACACGAAAAGTGCTCCTTCGAAAACATTTCGCGCAACACCACTTGTGATAAGAGTGACGAATTCAGTCAAATTGAGTTTATCATCAAAGTTTTTGTCAAACCTACGAACCGCCGCACGAAGCGTGCTTAAATTTGCATCAGGGATAATAGCAGGTATCACTCTGGCTAATTCTTGAAAATCAATTTGACCTGAATGATCAGAATCTATAATCATAAATGCTTCACGTATATCATCATACGTTGACTCAGGGCCCATCATGAGTACGTTTGCAACTTTCCCGAAATCTGTATACGCGAGTGTTCGTTGTGGCGTGAGACTTGTATAACGTTGGTAGGTAACCGGTGTTACTGATATGGAACGACTTAGAACTGCACCACCGCTCTGCTTGTTATCGTAATGATAATTATAATGATAAGAACCAGAAGTGCCTAAAACTCGTTCTCTCCTTACGACGGTCGAATACATACCGGTTACGATAATTGAATATTGAACGAAAGAAATCCAAATGAACTTGAGCCCAAAGTCGCTGACTGATGCAAACCACTGGTTTTTCTTCGTGTGTTCGTCTGATTTTAAGAGAATAAAAACAACGGCGAATTGATGCATTTATATGGACGCTTTAGATGTCACGAAACTTTATAGAAAACCATCTTGTACAAACAACTCAAAGGCGAAAGAGAACAACAACGCAAGCAACAGTGATTCAATTATCATGGTTGAATGGTTGGTTTCTTTTCGATTGTTTGCATAAGAAAATCAAAGTTTCAATGTGAAGGATGGATGCGGTTGCTAAACGTTTCTTATTAATGTCCCCTTTCTCACACGAAGCTATACAAAGTGCTCGATTCCAAGGGTAAAGCTACGGATTCGTATCGTATTTCTGATATTCTCTGGACTCCCATCGTACACCGGACCCCTGATCGTTTTATTTCCGACATTCGTATTCTTTTTCGAAGGCGTGTTTGATATGTCGGACGCTCCACTAGGTGTGTGACTGCTTCCGATATCGTAAGCTGGGGAGGATCAACAGGTCTTATCATATGAACTATCTCAAAACTTTCTGATGGCGGTCTGGGGGCGGGATGTACTCAAAGCTACGCAAGAACTATCCTATGGAAGTATCCATACTTCATCATGCCCTATC